AATTCTGCTCTTCTTCTTTGTTGCAACGTGCAACAGCAGAATCCAAGGAGCTACCAACAGACATCGCTGAAGCTAGTCGACGCCTCAACAACAGTAAAGCTTGGATTAATTATTAAACAAGATCTAGGTCCTCTTTGTCGCGAAGCAAGCAAACAAACAAACAATGGGCTCATTCTTGCTTACTTGATCGACATCGTTTGCTCCGGATTTGGTTAGCCACTTGCTTCCTCTCCTATGCTTTCTCTTCTGCAAGGCGTGGTGGGAAAGCGAAACAACACAACCAGATGTTCATTAATCATGTTAATGCAGTCTTGCAAAAGGACCACTTCAAGGTTCTTGACCAGTTTGAGATTAAATTCATATCTGAGAGCAAACTTGTCAACCATCTCAATAGTTGGATTAGTTTTGCTATGTTAGCCCACACAAAGAATTTAGCTTTTGATTTTCCGGGACACGGGATCACTACATGTTCCCGTTTGAACGTTTAAGCGACAAAATCATTTTCTGTCTAAGTGTCTACTTAGCTTTGTGTGTCTCAAATTACCTCCTGCCCAGTTCATATGAAAACTCTATCTCCATTTACTGAACACCAAGGTCTGGGCCATCTTCAGCGCACTCTGCAACCACGGCGTCAACCTCCACGATGACGGCGACCATAGGCGGCATGTCATCAGTGTGTCTCTTGAACACTGCCTCCGTGCACTAAATCTGTGTGTGTGCTCTGTGATTTGCAATATGTAGGAGGCTGGTAATAAAGTGCAGAATTTTGAGTGCTTTGATTGTGACATGATGTTCAAGGTTGTCTCACTGTCCTAGTTCTCAGCTCCCAGCTTGGTTCATACTTATCAAGTCTGAACCAGTGAACGTCTACAGAGGAAAATGATACATTTAGTTTGATTTGTTGCAAGGTCACTTCTAAAACTTAACTTGTATCTAAACAGGGGCAACCCTGCAGTATTTCTGAATCACAATTCAGTAAAATGAAATGAAATCTAGTAACAAAGTGCCAAAAGATCAAGCGGGGTCACTGCTGTAGTGGCATGGAAATTTACACTCCATGGCTTGTTGACACTTCAAACAACAATGCAATAATAAGCTGCATGTCTTCTCTCTCTATGTTTATGTTTATCATGTCCTTTGAAATTTCAGGAATTAGTTTTCTTTTCAATCCATGTGCATATTTACTGCCTGCAATGCATGACCTCTTGTCTAGTCGGCAGCATGTATTTCTAATTCAAACTTTGGCATTCTCAGCGGACTCACACCTTGATCTTCATCACCCAACTGCAGGTCCTGCACAAGCGTGCTTAAGGGAATGTTCACCTAGTTGTGGAAGAGCCGGTTAAGGAGAGGGAGCTCCGTTTTGTGGCTCGGCTCACACCAACGCACACCCCCTCTCGGTTTCCCCTGCGCCTCCGGTGACCGCTTCTTCTTCGACTCCGGCATAGGTAAGCCACTCGGTTTCTCTCCTTTGCTTCCTCTCATGCTTTGTGTGCCAATAGCCATCAAGCCGTTGTAAAATTTATCCTGGGTTTTGGGTTGTGCTGATGGTATATGATGCCAACATTTGTACTTCTCGTCACCGTTTTAGTGGATTTATCCCTTAAGTGCTAATTTAGCTACGATTTTATCTACTAGCCAGAGGAGCAGTAGGAGGAGTGTCGGCAACCAGATGGCGTCCGGCTTCGGGTTCCCGATACTGTCACCAGCGGAGATCGCGGAGCAGCTGTTTCAGTACGGGATCGCCCCCATTGCCAACCTCCGCCCCGAGAACATCGCCAGCCCGCAGCCTGACTTGCTCCCTGGCGTCCTCGCCCGCTTCTTCGACTCCTTCGTCGATGCCCCCGGGTAACAAAAGAAGCATGCCGCCTCTCCCTCCCCCCCCTCGCTCCCTTGCTCGCTCGCTCATCTGGCTGGATTTCGCAGGGACGGCGAGGATGGGCTGCTAGGGTTCAGCGACCTGGAGGTGCTGGACAACCCGGAGCACCACGCGGAGGCCATCCGGGTGCTACGCCTCTACAACAAGTCGCAGGCCTTCCTCGACTCCATCCAGTTCAAGGACTTCACACTCGCCGACTTCACCCGCCCCACCCCGCGCCGCGTCGTCGAGGTCCTCAGCGCCCTCATCAACTTCCTCTTCTACAGGGAGGAGAAAGTCACCCTCCTGCAGCCCATCGTCAGCGAGACCCCCGACTACCACGAGCGCACTCTGGAGCTCAAGGCCAGGATGACCCAGGTCTTGCTGTTCACAGTTTCCACAGCTAATCTGTTCGTGGAAATGCCCACAGGCTGATCGGAGATTCTTAGAGTTGCATTCATGTTTCTCTTGTGCAGCTTCAGAAGGAGATCGCGGATCATGAGCTCGCAGAGCAGATGGAGGAGCCCATGGCCCAGCAGCTGGAAGCAGACGTCAATGCTCTGCAGCAGAAAGTTCAGGTTTACAACAAGCAGCAACTGGCCCTGCGAGCAAAGGCCGCAGCCATCAATGACAAGAAAGAGGAGATTCACAGGAAGGTGTGCTGATTCCTACCTTGTGTCTTCTGTATTATCGCTCTCCATCCAAAAAACTAATTATTTTCTGTGGATTTCTGGCATCATGAGTTGCAAATAAAGTATAGTCCCTACTGAGAGCCAAGCATGGTACATGGTCTAGGAGTTTCTGATCAAAATACATCACGCGTTGCCACATCAGGTCGAATATAAACAGCCTTGTGTGGTTGTGGTGCAATCTATTCAGCCTTGTGCCTTTGGCGTGGCTTCGATCCTGGTCTTCTAGATCAAGGCTAGAGCTAATTGGTCAAAAACGTCGCCTCCAAGTATGTCCTAGATGAATCTCGAGCTGGTTTTGATGTCAATAAACCCGGATCCCTCATAGGATCCTTTTTGAAACCTGAAAGTAGGAGATCCGCCATATCAAACTAAATAGGAGTTTAAAGTATCTTGAAAAAGTATGAACCTTAATCACAACAAGGTGCATTATCTGCGATTGGTTATTGTAACATTAAGTAGTACTATATTTAGTTGCAGTGCCATAGATTTTATTAGACCAGGAGCTATTGGCCCTAACACATCTCCCGCTCCATCTTGACTTTGATAAGCCATAAGCTCTTTCGTAGATTAGAAATGCTCCAGCCCACAGCCCCACATAGGACAGGCTATCTACAATTTGCCATCTGCAAAGTGAACTGTGTGCACATTGTCTTTAATACATCAGCCATTTACTCTTGAGTCCTGACATCTGCTCATCACCAATTGTTATTCGGCTATACTTTGTGAATGAGAATATTGAACATCTGATATATTGCTCTCGCTAACTTAAGCTGATAGTTTGATATTCTGCACAAAAAGCAACAGCTCGCTGCATAATGTTATAATTTATTGCATTTATGTTTCCTGCTGCAGATAACCCAGGCTGATTTTGAGTTGACTAAACATGCCCAAGAAAACTCCAGATTGATGTCCAAATTAGTAAAGTCCCCAGAAAAAGTTCAGGTGAGACCTCTTCAATTTTATTTTATTTGTAGCAACAGGTTAGGTTCCAAATTTGGTAGGTGCTATTTGTCCGATGACCTGATGTTGTTGTGAATTAGTGACTATACGAGGAATTACCTATACTTGGACTTGTAAGCTGGCTAGTACTAGGTGACTGCATATCTGCATAAACAGCCTGGTTGACCTGCTACCTTCATTTTTCCACGCATATCTGCATAACCTGCCTAGTACTAGGTGACTGCATAAATGGCCTGGTTGACTTGGTAAATTCATTTTTCCAT